GACTCCAATCGTCTTTTTTTTAGGATCAGAAACCTTCTCGGGAGTCCCATTGGATATATTTTTTTAAGAATGTGAAACCTTCTCGGGTGCCCTAATTTTTAGGTGAAATCTTCTCAGGGGCCACAAGTGCCTTTTTCTTATGAATCTGAAACCTTCTCGGGGGTCCCAATTGTTTTTACGTAAAGAAGATGAAACCTTCTCAGGGGCCCCAAGTGTCTTTTTCTTATGGATCTGAAACCTTCTCGGAGGTCCCAAATATCTTTATTCAATAATCTGAAACCTTTTCGAAGGTCCCAACCAATGTCCTTTTTTAAGAAGGTGTAACCTTCTCGGGAGTCTCAACTGGTTTTTTTAAGAACAAACTGAAACCTTCTCAGGGGCCCCAAGTGTCTTTTTCTTATGAATCTGGAGCGTTCTCGGTGGCCCAAAACCTCATTATTTAAGAATCTGAAACCTTCTCGAAGGTCCCAACCAATGTCCTTTTTAAGAAGGTATAACCTTCTCGGGAGTCTCAAATGTATTTTTTTAAGAATAAAATGAAACTTTCTCGGAGACTCCAAACGCCTTTTTTTAAGAATGTGAAAACTTCTCGAGGGCCCAAAACCTCTTTATTCAATAATCTGAAACCTTCTCGAAGGACCCAACCAATGTCCTATTTTAAGAAGGTGCAACCTTCTTGGGAGTCTCAACAGGCTTTTTTTAAGAATAGAGTGAAACCTTCTCGGGGACTCCAACCGTCTTTTTTTTAGGATCTGAAACCTTCTCGAGGATCCCAAATGATCTTTTTTGAAGAAGATGAAACCTTCTCAGGGGCCCCAAGTGTCTTTTTCTTATGAATCTGGAGTGTTCTCGGTGGCCCAAAACCTCCTTATTTAAGAATCTGAAACCTTCTCGAAGGTCCCAACCAATGTCCTTTTTAAGAAGGTATAACCTTCTCGGAAGTCTCAACTGGATTTTTTTAAGAATAAAATGAAACCTTCTCGGAGACTCCAACCGTCTTTTTTTTAGGATCTGAAATCGTCTCGGGGGTCCCATTGGATACATTTTTTTAAGAATGTGAAACCTTCTCGGGGATCCCAAATGTTCTTTTTTGAAGAAGGTGAAACCTTCTCAGGGACCACAAGTGTCTTTTTCTTGTGAATCTGAAACCTTCTCGGGGGTCCCATCAGATATCTTTTTTTTTAAGAATGTGAAACCTTCTCGGGGGTCCCAATAGTTCTTACGTAAAGAAGGTGAAACCTTCTCGGAGGTCCTAAACGTCTTTATTTAAGAATCTGAAATCTTCTCGGGGGCCCAAAACCTCTTTATTCAAGAATCTGAAACCTTCTTGAAGGTCCCAACCAATGTCCTTTTTTAAGAAGGTGTAACCTTCTAGGGAGTCTCAACTGGTTGTTTTAGGAATAAATTGAAACCTTCTCGGGGACTCCAACCGTCTTTATTTTTAGGGTCTGAAACCTTCTCGGGGGTCCCAATTGTTCTTACGTAAAGAAGGTGAAACCTTCTCAGGGGCCCGAAGTGTCTTTTTCTTTGAATTTGAAACCTTCTCGGAGGTCCCAAACATGTTTATTAAAAATCTGAAACCTTCTCAGGGGCCCAAAACCTCTTTATTCAATAATCTGAAACCTTCTCGAAGGACCCAACCTATGTCCTTTTTAAGAAGGTTTAACCTTCTTGGGAGTCTCAACAGGTTTTTTTAAAGAATAAAGTGAAACCTTCTCGGGGACTCCAACCGTCTTTTTTTTAGGATCTGAGACCTTCTCGTGGATCCCAAATGTTCTATTTTGAAGAACGTGAAACCTTCTCAGGGACCCCAAGTGTCTTTTTTTTATGAATCTGAAACGTTCTCGAGGGCCCGGAACCTCTTTATTTAAGAATCTGAAACCTTTTTGAGGCTCCCAACCAATGTCGTTTTTTAAGAAGATATAAACCTTCTCGGGAGTGTCAATTGGATTTTTTAAGAATAAAATGAAACCTTGTCAGGGACTTCAACCGTCTTTTTTGTAGAATCTGAAACCTTCTCGGGGGTCCCATCCGATATCTTTTTTTTTAATAATATGAAACTTTTCATGGGGTACCAATTGTTCTTTCTTAAAGAAGGTGAAACCTTCTTAGGAGCCCCAAGTGTCTTTTTCTTACGAATCTGAAACTTTCTCGGAGGTCCCAAACGTCTTTATTTAAGAATCTGAAACCTTCTGAGGGATCCCAAATGTTCTTTTTTGAAGAAGGTGAAACCTTCTCAGGGGCTCCAAGTGTCTTTTTCTTATGAATCTGAACGTTCTCGGGGGTCCAAAACCTCTTTATTAAAGATTCTGAAACCTTCTCGAGGGTCCCAACGAATGTCCATTTTTAAGAAGGTATAACCTTTTCGGGAGCCTTAACTGGATTTTTTTAAGAATAAAATGAAACCTCGGGGACTTCAACCGTCTTTTTTTTAGGATCTGAAACCTTCTCGGGGGTCCCATCGGATATATTTTTTTAAGAATGTGAAACCTTCTCGGGGGTTCTACTTGTCCTTTTTTAAACAGGGTGAAACCTTCTCAGGGGTCACAAGTGCCTTTTTCTTATGAATCTGAAACCTTCTCGGGGGTCCCATCAGATATTTTTTTTTTAAGATTGTGAAACCTTCTCGGGGGTCCCAATTGTTCTTACGTAAAGAAGGTGATACCTTCTCATGGGCCCCAAGTGTCTTTTTCTTATCAATCTGAATCTTCTCGGAGGTCCCAAACGTCTTTATTTAAGAATCTGAAACCTTCTCGGGGGGCCAAAACCTCTTTATTCAAGAATCTGAAACCTTCTTGAAGGACCCAACCAATGTCCTTTTTTAAGAAGTTGTAACCTTCTCGGGAGTCTCAACTGGTTTTATTGTGAATAAAGTGAAACCTCCTTGGGGTCTCCTACCGTCTTTATTTTTAGGATCTGAAATCTTCTAGGGGGTCCCAATTGTTCTTACGTAAAAAAGGTGAAACCTTCTCAGGGGCCCCAAGTGTCTTTTTCTTATGAATTTGAAACCTTCTCGAAGGACCCAACCAATGTCCTTTTTTAAGAAGGTGTAACCTTCTTGGGGGTCTCAACAGGCTTTTTTTAAGAATAAAGTGAAACCTTCTCGGGGACTCCAACCATCTCTTTTTTAAGGATCTGAAACCTTCTCGGGGATCCCAAATGTTCTTTTTTGAAGAAGGTGAAACCTTCTCCCAAGGGGCCCAAGTGTCTTTTTCTTATGAATCTGGAGCGTTCTCGGTGGCCCAAAACCTCTTTATTTAGGAATCTGAAACCTTCTCAAAGGTCCCAACTAATGTCCTTTTTTAAGAAGGTATAACCTTCTCAGGAGTCTAAACTGGATTTTTTTAAGAATAAAATGAAACCTTCTCGGAGACTCCAACCGTCTTTTTTTTAGGATCTGAAACCTTCTCGGTGGTCCCATTGGACATATTTTTTTAAGAAAGTGAAACCTTCTCGGCGGTCCTAATTTTTCTTTTTTAAAGAAGATGAAACCTTCTCAGGGGCCACAAGTGCCTTTTTCTTTTGAATCTCAAACCTTCTCGGGGGTCCCATCAGATATCTTGTTTTTAAGAATGTGAAACCTTCTCGGGGGTCCCAATTGTTCTTACTTGAAGAAGGTGAAACCTTCTCAGGAGCTCCAAATATCTTTTTCTTATAAATCTGAAACCTTCTCGGGGACTCCAACCGTCTTTTTTTTTAGGATCTGAAACCTTCTCGAGGGTCCCATCTGAAATCTTTTTTTTAAGAATGTGAAACCTTTTCGGGGGTCCCAATTGCTTTTTTCTAAAGAAGGTGAAACATTTTCGGGGTCCCCAAGTGTCTTTTTCTTATGAATCTGAATCTTTCTCGGAGGTCCCACCCAATGTCTTTTTTTTTAAGAAGGTGGAACCTTCTCGGGAGCCCCAACTGTTTTTTTTTAAGAATAAATTGATACCTTCTCTGGAGCCTCAAGCGTCTTTTTGTAGGATCTGAATCCCTTTCGGGGATCCAATTGATAGGTATCTTTTTGTTTAAGAATGTGAAACCGTCTCGGGGGTCCCAATTGTTCTTTGTTAAAGAAGGTGAAACCTTCTCAGGGGCCTCAAGTGTCTTTTTCTTATGATACTGTAACCTTCTCGGGGGCCCCAACTGTATGTATTCAAGAATCTGAAACTTTCTGGGGGGTCCCAATTGTTCTTTTTTGAAGAAGATGAAACCTTCTCAGGGGCCTCAAGTGTCTTTTCCTTATGATGCTGAAACCTTCTCGGGGGCCCCAACCGTCTTTATTTAAGAATTGAAACCATCTCGGGGGTCCCAATTGTTCTTTTTTAAAGAAGGTGAAACCTTCTCAAGGGCCCCAAGTGTCGTTTCTTATGATTCTGAAACTTTCTCGGGTTCCCAACTATTTTATGTAAGAATGTGAAATTTTCTGGGGGTCGCAAATAATGTCTTTCTTTGAAAAAGCTGGAACGTTCTCGGGAGCTTCAACTGTCCTTTTTTTAAGAATAAAATGATACCTTCTCAGGGGTCCCATCCGTCTATTGTTAGGATCTGGAACCTTCTCGGGGGTCCCAACTGATATATTTTTTTAAGAATGTGAAACCTTTTCGGGGGTCCCAAGTGTCTTTTTCTTATAATTCTGAAACCTTGTCGGGGACACCAACCATATTTTTTTAAGAATCTGAAACTTTCTTGAAATAGCCTGACCCGACCTGACCTGACCTGGCCTGACCCGACACGATTTGACCCGACCTGATTACATTCACATCGAAGTGAATGCAGAAAATATAGAAAACAGATTCTAAAATGTCTCCGCAGATTAATAAAATTATGAAAAAATATATTAGTCTCATTAATATTTACGAAAAAATTTTAAAAATGTCTTCAAGTAAGAAATGAAATTATAAGACCTTGGAGCGCTGCCTTTAAATTATGTTATTAATAAAAACAAATTTTACAGTAACCATATAAACCCATATAAAAAACAATAAACTCAGCTGCCACTTAATGCCTCCACTCACCTGCCTCTGCGTTCCCTGAGCCTCCCCGGGGACGTTTTTCGTGCTGACTATCAGATGATTCGCCATATTCAAATAAAACACCGCTATAATCGTAAGCGGGATGACGTACAAAATGAGGAAACGCAGCAGGACCATCACTTGCGGGTACTTGTTGTTCAGCCAGTGCGTCGGAAAAGGATAGCAGACGACGAATTGTCCCTCGATGTCCTTTAAATGGGATCCCACCGCCGCCGGAACGGCGCAGAGAATTGCCAAAATCCATATCGAAATAGCTATACAAAGCGTTATTCGCGTCGCTTTTCGGCCGCCACCTGTTAAAAAATCGCCGCCATTAATCAGGAGCGGGCTGAGACACGTGGGAGTGAAGTTTTCATGAATCATCTTTTCGTAAATAATTTCCCAGCGTTCGGGATAATTAAAAAGGGTTGCGGGGAATCGCGTCGTTATTTAATAAATTTGTTTTTATATGTGCGTAAATGTGTCTATTGTCGGAGTTTAATTTAATTTGGGGCTGCAATGTAAAAGGGTTGGGATAATTATTTCGTGAGTTAAGTAATGACAGGGTTGATGTAGAGAGCGTTTGGGGAAATTGTTATGATTTATGATTGGTTGGCGGCGAGGCGATTAATAAAATAACGAAAGTTGTTCGGGCAGTGTTCGGAATGCAGTGTGGCCATTTAATTTAATTTTTATCGTTTGAAAAATGCGGTATTTATTCTGTTAAACGTAGGTTGGTGTACAATTTTTATTTACATATTTAATCAAAAGGAAATTTAAATTAGGAAGTCGGAGGGACTATTCCAGTGAGGGTCAGTTTCAATATTTGCTTAATCAACGTGAGCTTTTGCGATTAATGGAAAAGTTCAGAGGCCGCACTTTGGATTGTAGTACGCGTAGTATTTATTTATTTTTTCATTAAAAACAAAATTAACGGACGGAATAAATTCATAATTACAAATGCGAGAGGTTTACTTAAACATTTTTTTTCTAATAAAGCTTTCTGAAAACTGAAATAAAACGATCTACCCACGGAGTAATAAGTACATAAAAAAAGTAAATGCCAGGATGAACTTTAGATTATGAAAACGATATGAATAATACTGGGAAATATTGAAGTTTATAAATGTAAATTAATTTCTGTCAATATACGTAGGCATAACATTACTAATAAAAATTACAAGTAATGTCCACGTCTTCTTAAACTTATCTGTGAGATTATGGAAATTTAAAGTAATAAATTCCATCGATATTTGACCTCTTCCAGAATATTTGTTTTTGTGTTACCATACATCATGGAATTTCAGCGCTTCGCATCCTTCCGTATATCAACTTCTTGTCCACCCTTGATAAAGCCCCGTAAATTTAAAATTCAAATTCGGAAGCTTAACATGCAGATTGTGTTTGTGTCAAATTCATACAAAAACTTGAGACCTGTTTAAGACATTTTGCTCCGTTTTCAACCTTAAATTAATGAACGAAAAAGTAGACAATGTGATGGGATAAGAAACGACGAACTCCATTTTCTAGAGTAGTATGTTCGAGTAAGTGGAATCAATTATTAACTATTACTTTTTCTCAAAAATAATTGAACTTGATTGTGCAGTGGTGTCCTTAATTTATTTTTGACAACTGTTCAGCATTTGTCGATAAGGCGCAATTTAGGGTTTGGAGTAATATATCCATAATATTTTTATTATATTTACTTGTTTATTGATTTATTTCTTTATTTATTTATTACTACTATAATTTATTCAGTGACGAGAACGTCTGATTCAGATATTGAATTGTGCCATTATAAATACATACAGAAAATATTTTATCTATTTCTATCCATCAGTAGTGGATTTATATAGAAAAAACGATGGAAAAATTCACCCCCAAACTAAGGGAGTCTTCTAAAGTCTTGGTTCTAAAGTCAGTTCAGTCAAGTCAGATCAGAAGCGCTCTGAATAGTGTTTAATTTTTTTTCTGAAGATCTTAAGGAAAGTTAAGATCTTCATAATTTTTGTCTCCATTTTGGTTTGGAAGTGATCGTAGACAAAACTGATTCCTTTATAAATTGAGGAAAAAACATTGAAATAACAAATAATAATAAGTCTTTTTTTAGAAACATGTCTCATAGCAATGGAAAAAACTCACTGTGTTCTTTTTCTTCAGTCATTTACAGAATTATGTAAAAGCAATAGAATATTCTTACATTTTTAAAGATACCGGGTGTTTTGGAATATTTATGGTCAGATCAGGTCAGGTCAGGTCAGGTCAGGGCAGGCCGTAAGTGCTCTAGCTGTTGTTTTAATTTTTTTTAAGATTTTAGCTTTCTTTAATGATCGAAAAATGATCTCTGAAACTCAGAGAATATTTAAAGATCTTGATTATTAGGTCCCTTCAATCAGATCAGAGCAGGTCAAATCAGATCAACTCAAGTGAAGCCAGGTCAGGTCAAGTCAGATGTACTCTAAAATCGGCCTTTATTGAAGGTCTTGACTTTCTTTAAGATCTTCAGAATTCTTCTCGTCATTATGCCAATGATCATGGACAAAACTGATATTCTGAGAAAAAATAAGATCTAGAAATGCAATTAACAATGAAGATCTTGAGAAATATTTCTGGTCCTTTTATTTTCAGTCTTTGAGATAAAGAGATAAGATATTGAAAAAAGATCTTAAGAAGTTAAGATAAGTAGAAAAGTAGACAGATTTGATATAAAATGTTCCATTCTTGAAAAAAATTGACTTCTATGAGGAAAAAATCTCCCAAAAACGAAGGAACCTCACTGTTTTTTTCTCTTGAATCTTCCATAGAATTATATAAAAGTAACACTGTTAAAGATACCACTTGGTTTGAGAAATTGATTGTCAAGTCAAGTCAGGTCAGGTGAGGTCATACGTACTCTGGTTACTGTTTTAAATGAAGAAGAATTTGACTTTTTTTACCATGTCTCGAACTAACAGAATATTTTAATATCATGATTGTCGACTCAATTCAGTCAAGTCAAATGAAGTAAAGTCAAACCAGGTCAGATCAGAAGCACCCTGAATATTTTTTTTCCCTGAAGATCTTGATTCTCTTTAAGATCATTAGAATTTTTCTCTCCATTTTGGTAATGATAAAACAAAGTTGATCCTACAAAATGAGAATTCTTCAGAATTTTTATCTAGGAGATCTAGAAAAGCATTCAGCAATTGGAAACGTTTGGTGACTTTTTATTTTCAGAATTTTTAAATCTCGAAATGGACAGATAATTTCTTTTGATTTGAAAAATACCTCCAGAAAGAAAGAACTTCATTCATTTTTCTCTTCACTCGTTTACAGAATTATATAAAAGTAGTAGAATAATCTTACATTTTTAAGGTAGCGGGTGATTTGAGATATTGATTTTTAAGCAGGTCAGGGCAGGCCGGACCATAAGTACTTTGACCACTATTTAAAATGAATTTTCTGAAGATCTTGACTCTCTTTAAGATCTTTAGAACTTTTCATTACTTTATTCCTTATTATCCAGAAACGATCATTAGCACAGTCAAGTCCAGTCAAATCAAGCCAAGTCAAAAATACTCTGAATAATGCTTTATGTTTTTTTCTGAAGAGTTTGACTTTCTTTAAGATCTTCTGAATTTTTCGCTTCATTTTGACAGTGATAAAATAAAAGTAATTCCGCTACAAACGGAGAAAAGAGCTATGAGTCTTGATTTGAGGTCAAGTCAAGCCAGTCAAAATTACTCTAAATAATGCTATAATTTTTTTTTTTTGAAGATCTTGACTTTCTTTAAGATCTTTAGAACTTTTCATTACTTTATTCATTATTATCCAGAAGCGATCATTAGGACAGTCAAGTCCAGTCAAATCAAGCCAAGTCAAAAGTACTCTGATGAATGCTTTATGTTTTTTTTCTGAAGATTTTGACTTTCTTTAAGATCTTCAGAATTTTTCACTTCATTTTGACAGTGACAAAATAAAAGTAATATCGCTACAGACGGAGAAAAGAGCTATGAGTCTTGGTTTGAGGTCCACTCAAGCCAGTCAAAATTACTCCAAATAATGCTATAATTTTTTTTTGAAGATCTTGACTTTCTTTAAGATCTTTAGAACTTTTTATTACTTTATTCATTATTATCCAGAAGCGATCATTAGCACAGTCAAGTCCAGTCAAATCAAGCCAAGTCAAAAGTACTCTGAATAATGCTTTATGTTTTTTTTTCTGAAGATTTTGACTTTCTTTAAGATCTTCAGAATCTTTCGCTTCATTTTGACAGTGACAAAATAAAAGTAATTCCGCTACAAACGGAGAAAAGAGCTATGAGTCTTGATTTGAGGTCCAGTCAAGCCAGTCAAAATTACTCTAAATAATGCTATAATTTTTTTTGAAGATCTTGACTTTCTTTAAGATCTTTAGAACTTTTCATTACTTTATTCATTATTATCCAGAAGCGATCATTAGCACAGTCAAGTCCAGTCAAATCAAGCCAAGTCAAAAGTACTCTGAATAATGCTTTATGTTTTTTTTATGAAGATTTTGACTTTCTTTAAGATCTTCAGAATCTTTCGCTTCATTTTGACAGTGACAAAATAAAAGTAATTCCGCTACAAACGGAGAAAAGAGCTATGAGTCTTGATTTGAGGTCCAGTCAAGCCAGTCAAAATTACTCTAAATAATGCTATAATTTTTTTTGAAGATCTTGACTTTCTTTAAGATCTTTAGAACTTTTCATTACTTTATTCATTATCATCCAGAAGCGATCATTAGCACAGTCAAGTCCAGTCAAATCAAGCCAAGTCAAAAGTATTCTGAATAATGCTTTGTTTTTTTTCTGAAGATTTTGACTTTCTTTAAGATCGTCACAATTTTTCTCTTCATTTTGACAGTGACAAAATAAAATTGATTCTGCTACAAACTGAGAAAAGAGCTACGAGAGTCTTGATTTGAGGTCCAGTCAAGTCAGTCAAAATCACTCTAAATAATGCTATAATTTTTTTTCTCAAGATCTTGACTTTCTATAAGATCTTCAGAATTGTTCATAACTTTATTCATTACTAACCAGTAGTGGCCGCTGGCTTAGGAAAGACGATGAAAAAATGCTCCCTCAAATTATGGACCTTGATTATCAGATCAGTTCAGTTAGGTCAGGTTCAATCAAGTCAAGTCAAATCAGGTCAAGTCAAGTCAGGACAAGTCATAACAAATCAGGTTAGGTCAATAATGTTTTAATTATTTTTTCTGAAGATCATAACTTTTCTTAGAATTTTCAGATTTTTTCTCTCCATTTTCGCAATGATCCTACACAAAAATGGTTTCGTTATAGACTGAAAAAAAGAGTGAATTATTTCAACCATTACTTTCAAGCAACAGTAACTGATACCCGAAAGACTATAGAAAAATATTCCCGAAACTAAGAAGATAATTTAACATTTTGATTGTCAAGACAATTCGATCAATTCAGGTCAAGTCAAGTCAAATTAGGTCAGTTCAGAAGTTTTTTTTTTGAAGATTTCGACTTCTTCAGAATTATTCGTTCCATTTTAACAATGACCATAGATAAATGACCGTAGACAAAATTTATTTCGTTATAAACTGAGAACAAAGAAGATATAGAAAAGTATTCATCCATCAAGATCTTGAGAAATATTTGGAGGCCTTTTATTTTCAGGGTTTTTTAAAGGTCGCGCCAGATGAAGTCCTCCGAATAATACTTTATTTTTTTCGGAAGATGTTGACTTTCTTTAAGATCTTCAGAATTTTTTTTTCATCAGCAATGAAAATCTTAAGAAATATTTGTAGACGCTTTACTTTCAGTATTTAGGTCTCGAGATAGGTCATATTTTGGAGAAACATCTGAAGAAGTTAAAAAAAGTGATATTTTATTAGAAAAAGATTTCGCAGGAATGAAAGTAAATCTTTGTTGTTCATTTAGTCGCTCCCATATTTAATATATAAAATTAGAAAAATTAAAACATTCTTACATTTGAAAGATACCCTGCGATTTGAGCTATTGATTGCCAAGTCAGGTCCCTGAATATTCTGAATAATGTTCTATTTATTTTTTTAAGATCTTGACTTTCATTAAGATCCCCAGAATTTTTCTTTGTTAGTTTTTTTTTCATGTAAAGATTTTGTTGATGAATGTTTCCATCGTATAAATTATCTGATGTCCAAACTTAATCTCAAATAAGAATTATTTGTTGTTTAAATTTTCGCGAGAGTGTATGGCGAATTTAAATGTTGTTTATTGCTCTTTTGAAACTTTTACACGTGTTCGGTTGTAATTTAATATTAGAGTCATAGAAATTGAACATTTAAATGGAATGGAAGTTAAATAACACCGAAATACGTGGCAGAAGCGGAGAGCGCGGTTCCTAGCCGAGCTGGCCGGATTTCTCGCGGAATCTGCACAAAAGACGCAGGTTTGAATAGAAATCAGGGGCGGTCGAGATGACGTGACGCTGTCGACTTCTGTGCACCACGAGTTTGCGACCGTAACAGCCTGCTCGTACCGTTGCTTTAAGCAATGGAAATGAAACTGTAATTAAAATATTCGCGAAACTTTTTTGTGACTTTATTTAAGAAAATAAAACACACGTGTGCTCTGAAATCAAATGGCGATCTATTTGAATATAGGGTTGATTAAAATTAAAAATGTAAAGTCTCTGCCAGATTCCAATTGAAAAGAAAAACTCATTTCCGGACAACAGCATCTATATAAATCAACTATGGAGTATTATCGCTTCGTTATTCAATCACAGTTCGCTGCCTGTGTTCAGTAACATTGTTTTAATGCCACTGTTAATATGAATTTGGTCCAACAAATCGAAAAACCGAAAGCAAAGGGATTTGGATTGGACAACAGCGTAGGATTTGAGAGGTTAAGCCCACCACATCCGGAAATAATCACCTACACAAAATTACATACAACCCACTTTTGTGTCATTACTAAGTATACAATTTTACTATCTAAAAGTACATTTAAAATATTTTCTATGCATTATCAAATCAAATAAAAATTAATATCAAACAAAATTTTGTCACACGCTAAATTCTACGTTGATGTGACATACAACTCTGGTATCACTCTCACCCTATGAAACCCAACCTTTACTCTACTTACTCGTGGTGTGAAATTTCTTAAGAGGATCCACTATAGCGAAGAACCGATCCGCCGACAATGCAGTGAGCGTGAATACCGACACTCCAATTGAAATATCTTTGGCAGTCTCGGAGACCTTGCAGATTAGTTCGCCCCAGGGCCACGATTCCACCGTGTAGATTATCGACGTGAAAGGGACACTCGTCACAATAACAAGTAGATCTGCCAAAGCCAACGAAAGAATGTATCTGGAAAAAAAATGTCTATCAATCCATGCAATTTTTCATTTCACCTGACAGATCAGCGTTGAAAGACAGCGTGGAGGTTGTGTGTGACGGGATTTATGAGATGTTCCGTATTTTTAGACATAAGGGAGCGCCCTTGCCATTGTGTAAATAAAACGTGTGTTCGGCGCCTTTTTATTTTAGCACTCTAGCTGTCATCGACGGAACTAGCGGAATTATTGGAAACCAAGAGCGTGGAGGCATCGATCACGCTTTGGCGAGACTTTCGAGCTTTGTGAGGGGACGTGAAGTCGATACGCGACTTATGGTGGCAAGATCGCAATTTTAGATAGGTGTTTTTTTTTTACTTTTTTTAAATAAGCATTGGTTTAATTTTCTATATAAAAACTGGCGTGATACTTCGTGATAAGTGATTTATTTGTCATTTATGATTTTCTCTGCCAAAAACGCGATGTGGTTGGTGAAATTCTGATTTTTGATATTATTTCTTCATGAAGTCTTCATTCAATTGCAAATACGATTTTAATGATGTATCTGCCATGGCCAGATTTTTCATCAATTCCTTTTCACTCATTCCTCCCTTCGCTATCTGAGACACAAACGAGCAACGACTGCACGGTTTGTAATTTTTTTCGATTTAACATCGAGTTTATTTATTTTTACCATCATAATGAAGTTCTCTTTCCTGTTAGAAACATCCTGTCATTTGTAATACGCTCAACGGGTTTTCAAGAAGTTCAGTATGATTTCACAATTTTACGTGTATCGTATTTACGGTGTTGTTTAGGTCACCTTTATACAGCTGAGTTTCAATTTCAAAACATATACAAAGTAAAGCAGTTTCAGACTTTTTTGAGAAAATCGAAACGTCGACAATTTTAACTGACGAACACGACTTTACCTGGAAACTCTATAAACAAAGCTTCCAAAAAACGGATAACGTGTTCACAAAATATGAACGAATTAAATTCAGTTAATGGTTTACTTGTGTTTTAACAGGCCATCTTTATTTTTAATTTTACGTATACAGGTGTTCCAAAAAAATAAAAATCTAAGGAAATGTTTGAAATAATGAGGCCGATATTTGTTTAAATTTCATCACAAACACAAAAAAGTTTAAAATAGCTTTATTTTATATTTCCTTGTAAGAAAAAAACGCTTTCAAAGTGTAGACGTTGTAAATTTTGAAAAGCGCTACGATTTTTCGCCCACTTTGGTAAAGAACAATTTCAGGAATTGCTCTCTTTTGAAGAGATTCATCTCTCGAAACGTTCTCTTCTCTTCAACTTTTCGTTTATTTTGAGGCTAAATTCTTCAAAATGCTCTTTACAAGTGGAAGAAACGTCGAAATTCTTTCCAATATTGACACGATTCAAGCTTTGAAAGAGTTTTTCTGTCATTAACTTGAACCTCGAAAGCTTTGTCTTATATTTATTTTTATCATAAAATTCATTTGTCTGATGAAGGTCCTTTGTATCGAAACAGCTAGCAATATATATTTTAAAACCATTTTAGTTATTGATTTAAAAGTATGAGATAAATCATACTCAAACTTGTGTACGTATCGAGTGTTCAATTAAAAAAGTCATCAAGTTGGCAATGATTTTTTGTAAACACTGTGAAGTATGTTCCATCTGTCGGTCGTCTGTCTGTCGTCTATCAGTCTGTCATATGTCTGTCTGTCAAATGTCTGTCTGTCGTCTGTCTGTCGTCTGTCTGTCGTCTGTCTGTCGTCTGTCTGTCGTCTGTCTGTCGTCTGTCTGTCGTCTGTCTGTCGTCTGTCTGTCGTCTGTCTGTCGTCTGTGTGTCGTCTGTCTGTCGTCTGTCTGTCGTCTGTCTGTCGTCTGTCTGTCGTCTGTCTGTCGTCTGTCTGTCGTCTGTCTGTCGTCTGTCTGTCGTCTGTCTGTCGTCTGTCTGTCGTCTGTCTGTCGTCTGTCTGTCGTCTGTCTGTCGTCTGTCTGTCGTCTGTCTTTCGTTTGTCGTCTGTCTGTCGTCTGTCGTCTCTCTGTCTGTCATCCGCTTGCAGTGGTTTTGGTAAAAAATTCACGTGGTGCAAAGCGTGGTAAAATTCGTTCGAAATAGGTGGTCCTTTTAGTATTAAACAAATAGAAATAGCAAAAGTAAATGCGTGACTTTGTAGTTTCAGCAATAAAAATAGAGAAAAAAAATGAAAAATACAAAATACAATGAAATAATCCACCTTTATAATAATTTAGTGAGAACCAGGCTAAGCGAGCACCGCACCGACAACACTATTTAACCTTTTTCGCTCTGTATAATTATTAATAAGATCTAGTTTATGTTTAGTGATACCTCATAAAATATAAGAAATTAAATGTTGATTGAGATTCTTTGCTTTTATATTATTTGCCCGGCGCCTCCACCATTTGTAAAATTTTCTTAACGAGTTTATTATTTTTGTCTTTTACTTTATTTATAAAAACTCTAAATTTTAAATATAATGTTTAGTTCTACAATAAAATAGCAGGAGTTTCAAAATTATTTTAAGTTTATTAAAGACATTAAGACATTAGAATTTTTAAAATTCTTTGAATTTTTTAAAAAACATTACCTGCAACCCATAAGAAGCTTCTTTTAAATTCTTAAGAAAACTACACTAAAAACCTCGAGATTTTTTCAAAATCGCCAAAAGGGGCCCAAATATCCTTTTAAAGTCCTCAAAAAGACACAAGGGACACCCAAATTCTTTCACAATTTTTTTATTGAAATAGAATAAAGCCTCAATCTTTCAGTTTTCTGGGGACTTCGAAATTCTTTAACTTTTTTTTCAAAAACAAACACGACACATCCTCAAGGTTTTTTTAAAGTCGTTCTATAAGAAAACACCAGAAACTTCCAAGGTTCTTTTGAATTCTTTCAAAAAAAACATCTAGGAATCCTTAGATCCTTTCAATTTTTTTCAAAAAGAAAATTTCATATTCCTTCAAGATTCTTTATTATACTACGTTCTAAAATCTCCACCAGACTCTTTCAACTTCTTAAAAAAGACACTAGTGAACTCAAAATTTAATTTTTTTTTTTTCAAAATCAAAACACCCAAGAACCACATGGCGCTTTTAAATTCTTTCAAAAATAATAGAATAGAGAAACCTACAAGATTCTTTCCAATTTTTTCGAAATCAAAACTCCAGAGACCCTCAAGATTTTTCAAAATTCGTTCTAAAATAAATAACCAGAGGCCTTTAATTTTTTTTTTTAACTTTTTAAAAACCATGTTACCAGGAACCCAAAAGTGTGTTTTAAATTCTTAAAAATAGACACTGTAGATCAAGATTCTTTCATTCTTTTTTTTAACAAAAGACCAGAGACCCTCAAGATTCTTTTAAAGTCGTTCACAAACAAAATACCCAATGATCTTTCAAATTCTTACTAAAAATAGGAACCTTAAGCTTAAGGTACTTCCAAACTAAAAAGAAAAACTCTAGGACCCTTCCTTTTTTTTAATATTCTGAAATAAATCACCACAGGCCTCTAAGATTATTTTAATTTTCTTGAAAACTAAATCACCAGAAGCCCTCAACATTGTTTAAAATTTTTAAAATAGGCAGTATAGATAAAAATTTTTCAATTTTTTTCGAAAACAAAACACCAAAGAAACTCAAGATTTTTTCAAAGTTGTTCTAAAACAAAGCAGCAAAGTCTTTCAAGGTGCTTTTGAATTCTTTGAAAAAATAAGCACTAATGACGCAAGGATCCTTTCAAATTTTTTCAAAAAGAGTGAACTAGAACAAGGCCCCTAAAGATTCTTTCAAATTTTTTTAAACAAAATACTGAAGAACCCCCATAAAACAAACCCCAGGACCTCTCAATATCCTTTTACACCCTTTCACAATGTAGGATCCAGTATTGTCTGTCTGTTTGTCGTCTTTCTGTCTATCGCTTATGTGGTGTATGTCTGTCTGGACTCTGTCGTCTCTCTCTTTTGTTTGGCGTCTGTCTGTATGTCGTCTTTCTCTCTCTCTCTCTCTCTATCGTATGTCTGTCTATCGTCTGTCTGTTTGTCTATCGTCTGTGTGTCTATCGTCGGTCTGTCTATCTGTCTGTCTGTCGTCTGTCTGTCGTATATCTGTCGTCTGTCTGCCTGTCGTCTGTCTGTCGTATGTCTGTCGTCTGTTTGTCGTCTGTCTGTCTTCTGTCTGTCTGTTGTCTGTCCATCTGTCGTTTGTCTATCTGTCGTCTGTCTGTCGTCTATTTGTCTGTCATCTGTCTGTCTGTCGTCTGTCTGTCTGTCTGTCGTGTGTTTGTCCTTCTGTCTGTCGTCTGTCTTTTATCTATCTATTTGGCGTCTATCTGTTTGGAATCTGTATGTTTGTCGTCTGTCTATCGTCTGTCTGTCTGTCTGCCGTCTGTCGTCTGTCGTCTGTCGTCTGTCGTCTGTCTGTCTGACGTGTGTTTGTCCTTCTGTCTGTCTGTCTGTCGTCTGTCTGTCTGTCATGTGTTTGTTTGTTTGTCTCTCTGTCTGCCGTCTTTCTGTCTATCGTCTGTTGGTTATCTAGTGTATGTCTGTCTGGACTCTGTCTATAGTGTGTCTGTTATATATCTATTTGGCGTCTATCTGTTCGGAATCTGTATGTTTGTCGTCTGTCTATCGTCTGTTTGTCTGCCTGCCGTCTATCGTCTGCCTGTCGTCTGTCGTCTGTTTGGCTGTCTGTCTGTTTGTCTGTCTGTCTGTCTGTCTGTTTGTCGTCTGTCTGTTTGTCGTATGTCTGTCCCTCGTCTGTCGTTTGTCTGGTGCATGTGGACTCTGTCGGGCTGTCTGTAGTATGTCTGTCATCTGTGTAGATTTTTATTAGACAGATAATCTCCGAAAGTTGTGAAATTTTGTATTTATATTAGGAATATCGTGTAGACCGTAAAACCTGAACCAAAATTTGTTCAATCATCCCCACCAACAATTTGATGACGCAATCTCAAAATTTAACTTGATAAATTCCACTGAAATTTTATAAAATAACATACTCCTGTACTTGTGGTTTATGAATCCACCTTGAGTTTTGATCCCAACTAAATAGTAACGCTGAGGTTATCGATTGAATATCCTTGTGGCCAATTTTTTTCTTACAGTGTGACTGGTATTATCTATAGTTTTACTAGCTGGCCCGGTGAACTTCGTTTCACCTACAATTTAATTTTGAATCTGCAAAACCGAATGCTTTGAAAACTTACAGATGTTTTAAACATATGATAAGCATAATAAATTTTTATTCAAAATATATTTACTTATCCCCTCCAAAAAATTGATGACGTCAGCCCAAAATTTGCCAAATGAATCCTATCTAAAACGTCCAAAATAGGATGAGTTTATGCTTGTGATTTATTATTCCATTCATATTTTTTAGATTTGGTTATATAGGGTGACTCAAAAAAATTAATGAATGGGTGAATTAATTTTATTGATTTAATCAGGAACTGCAAAACCGAATGCTCTGAAATCTTGGAGATGCTTTAATGTTATCATAAGCATGGTAATTTTTTTATTAAAATGTATTTGTTCATTCCCCCTAAAAAATTGATGATGTCACCTAAAAATTTTGCTGAATAAATCCTATCTGAAATGTGCAAAATATGATGAGTTTTTACTTGTGATTTATCACTGCATTAATATTTTTTTAGTTTTACTTAAACGGGGTGTCCCAAAACAATTAATCACTGGGTCAATTTATTTTATTGACTGAAAACCGTAAATAAACTTTATTGTTATCAAGAATTGTAAAACTGAATATTTTGAAATATTGCAGACGTTTTGAAGTTACTGTAAGCATGTTAGCTTTTTAATCAAAATATATCTGTTTATCAAGCCCAAAAACTTGATGACATCATCTCAAAATTTTGCCGAATAAATCCTATCTAAAATGTGCAAAATATCATCAGTATATATTCGTAATTTATCATTGCATTCATATTTTTAGTTCCCGAGCGTAAGCAAAGGAAGTATTGTAATCGAGTCCGTCGGCCGACTCTCTACTTTTACCTTTTCTCGATCTTTCATGATCCCTAGAAGACGAAGTAATAGGTCTCCCATTTCCGTCTGTCTGTCCGAAAGTACTGGACCGATTGTTGTGAAATTTTGTACTTATATTAGGAATATCATGTAGATGGTAAAACGCTAACCAAAATTTGTCTAATCATCCCCACAACTAATGCGATGACGTCACTTCAAAATTGTACATAGTGAATCGGTTTTAAATTGTATAAAATAACGTAGTCCTACACATGTGGTTTACGACTCCGAATTGAGTTTTTACCCGAAACGTCCAGATTTTTGGAAAAAAATCAAAATTATAAAACAACATTTTGAAATTTAATTTTGAATCTGCTAACCTGAATGTTTTGAAATGTTGCAGATGTTTTAACGCTATAAAGAGCATCATAAATCTTTAGTCAAAATATATTTGGTTATCCCCTCCAAAAACTTGATGACGTCAGTTCAAAAGTTTACCGAATAAATCCTATCTAAAATGTGCAAAATATGATGAGTATGTACTTGTGATATATCACTCCATTAATATTTTTTGGATTTGCATATACAGGGTGACTCAAAAAAATTAATGAATGCGTAAATGTATTTTACTGATTTACTCAGGAATTACAAAACCGAATGCTTTGAAATCTTAAAGATGTTTTAAAATTATCATAAGCGTGGTAAATTTTTTATCAAAATGTATTTGGTCGTCCCCCCTAAAAAAATTTATGACGTCACCACAAAATTTTGTTGAATAAATTCTACCTAAAATGTACAAAATATAGTGAGTTTCTTCTTGTCATTTATCATTCCATTCAAATTTTTTCGATTTCCATATACAGAGTGACTCAAAAAAATTAATGAATGCGTGAATTTATTTTATTAAGTTAATCAGGAACAACAAAATCGAATGCTTTGAAATCTTGCAGATGTTTTAAGGTTATAAAGAGCATAATAAATGTTTAGTCAAAATATATTTGCTTATCCCCTCCAAAAAATTGATGACGTCAGCTCGAAATTTTTAATACTTTTCACAATCGCACTGAAGAAATAGTTTTGTGTGACACGTCAGTCAGGCGACAGGTCCGTCAGGAATGGCCAACTATTCAAATTTATTCTAAGTGGCGATTCCCGTGCAAAATTTAAGTAATCGATTGAAAGAACGTGCGCATAATAAATGTCACATGAAATTAACTGAGCAGAGTACAATGAGTAGCTGTCAAACAATGTATCTCGCACCGGCGCCTTCTACTTAAAAACGTACTTATTTTCGTGAGGGATACTCACACACCACGTACTGGCGCCGTTGTAGTACGTGGCTGTATGTGAAAAATGATTTTCCCTGTTTTCCTGCTTTTCTCTTAAAATTTTTCCAGAATTTTCTTTGCTATAAACCTCACGGAGCCCGAGACCTTTCCAACGAATGCAAAACCGTGGAAATCGGTTCGTGCGTTCTTGAGTTATAGCGTCAGGAAGGAAAACCCGACTTATTTTTATATATTAGATAACTCATGGGGGTTATTATTAAATAAATAATATTTCACAAAATCAAATTTTATATTTTTTTGAAGAAGTTTGATCACAGTTAACAAAGTGTAAAATTGCTTAACTTTAGACATACATTAATGTTCGTGTGATCTTGGAAGGCGCTACCTAAATTTTGTTCCTTTATTTCTTTCAAAAAATTGATGACGTCATTTCAACATTTTGTCGAATAGATCTCACTTGAATTATGTAGCTTACCATACTTTTTTTCCTTTGACTGAACCATCCATATATAGATGATCAAAGTCACAATAAAAAAGGATTAGTAAGAATGAAATTCGAACCTACATAGGATAGAAGCCATTAAATCTATCATTAATCACACCCGACAATGAAACATTTAATGCAGAAGAGATATCGGCTAGATGAACCACGTGAAAAATGTTGCACAAAAGATATAAGGTAATTTGTAATCAAATTCAAGGCGGATTCATAAACCATGTGTACAGGATTACTTTGGTTGGTGGGAATGAATAGACACATTTTGGGTAGCGTTTTACTATCTACATGATATTTCTAATATACATACCTATAAAATTTTATAATAATTAATCGATCTGGTAGTTTTGGAGATTATCTGTCTAATAAAAATCGGTACAGACAGACGATAAACGACAAACTGACAGAAACGCGAGACCTACTTTTTAGTACTCTAGACATCGTGAAACGTCGAGAAAACACAGATGGTGCGGTACATTAATTAAATTTTACAGTTCACTAAATTATTTTGAAATTTTCTTTCCTTAGTAGGTCAAGTTTAACGAAGTTTACGTAATTCACAACTCCATACGTCGTCTCAGGAAACTTGACTTAACATTATAAAATATCTTACATCAAGCTGGTTTTGAAAAATTTGTCACGGTATTTTTGAGAAGAATTTGCCGCTACTTTTATATTTTCTCGACGTTCCATAACCTCTAGAGTACGAAAGAATAGGGCCCCCGTTTCAATCTGTCTGCCTGTCTGTTATTGGTCCAGATTTTTGTTAGACAGATCATCTCGAAAACTACCGTCCCGATTGTTGTCGAGTTTTAAATGCGTAATAAAAATATCGTCTAGTTGCTAAAAAAAAAATCGAAATTGTACAGCAACCTTACTTAGGTTACTTAAGCAAGTTACTTAACCCGAAAATAGCGCATGTTCGAATGTGGTATGGATTTTTTGGTTGTTATACTGTTATATGCTATCTATATTTTTTGGGAAAAAAGTCAATTGTGTTTAATTAGTCCTCTTGTTAGTTCTGTCGAAATAACCTTGGACCAATTTTTTTCAATTTAGAGTAATGTGGTTCTCACCAAATAAACTGTAGAAAAAAAAACAATAAAAAACGACGTAGAATTTTTTTTTGACAATGTTTTCAAATGACTATTAAAAGTGTTTTAGTACCTTTTTGCACCACGAAGCCCATGTTCTACCGTACATAATTCATCAAATTTTTCACAAAAGAAAAAAACCGATTTCTGAAACAAACAAGTAAAAATCACCCTCAAAATATAAGACCTAAGAAGAGTAGATGATTGTTACCACTTCAGTTAGAGTCGGATTTATCATAAAACGAGTGGAATTTTGTCTCCAATAAACCGACTCGCTTGAAATCACCCCCAATCCACGCTGTTCAAACACAAGAAAACATCGATCACTTTCGTTACGTCTTTGTCAAAGTTTCCTCACATTGTTACCACAAATGACCGGCTTTCCACCCGACTCTCGGATTATAAAACCCATAACTGAAACCTGATCGCATTTTTTCGTGTCGTAGCTCGAAAACGACAAACGTGGATTTCTTGTAGCTCTTTACGTTACATGTGTCTGTAGATTACGAGCTCGGAGTAAAGATTTTCTTGCTTTTGTTTTGTAGGAATTACTTTCAAGGGTTCAAGCCGTATTTCGACAAGACGTTGCTTGCGACACTAATGGTTTCACACAAAACATCATTAGTTTACTTAAAAAAGAAAAAGAAAAATCAAATGAAAGAGCACAAAAGTGGAATAATCTGTTTTATTGGGAGCACCACGTGGAATAATTCAGAGAATACTTGGCCTCGTGCGAGCTTTTGTTGCCGCGAGGAGGAGAAAAATGTTGGCTTTTAAGGTTAATAAGTAGGTGGGAGGGTGCTTTCGACGAAGCAAAATAGAATAACGATACTGAAATATATTCCGTTCAAATAAATGCTAGACATGTTTTGAACTCTAGTATCAGACACTGAACAACAACAACTTACGTGTTAGGAACATTTCTCATCGTCCGATGCCTCAGAAAAATAACCACGAGCGTCCCATTTCCCAAGACGCCCACAATAAAAATGAGGAAGAACAAGACCGGGACGAAATAGGTCTCCGGTCTCTCGCTATACGGAATGTAATCCTCGGGCTTTCCCGAAAAGTTCTTGTGTGTTTCGTTGGAGTCGTTGCCCGGAAGTATGTTATAGTTCAGCATGAGGGTGTCATTTTGGGGGATGGTGAAATTCATCTTTGGCGATAGCGATGCGACACGTCACGTTATTTTGTCCATTGGAGTGTACCTGCAACAAATCGCCCTAATTAATTACTGTGAAAATGCGGGTGTCAGGGTATGGAAATAAATTGGAGAGGCACGTTTTGATGGAGATGTTATCTGGTGTGTAAAGTGCGGAAATTTTTGTGCTAAAAAAATGCGAATACTCACGACATTAATCACTGTCAGGTATTATTGTTTGGAGCTTTTAATCGCTGTGTAAATAATTCTGCGTTTGTTTTGTCTATGCGAAAATTGGTCGGTGAAAGTGTTGGGGTAATTGGTTTGGTTTTTCATTGAGGAATATTTGTTGATAGACGCTCGGTTTGGGAGATGAGTCATCGGATTAGGGTCTCTTGTGGGTATTAATAAATAGTGCGAGATTAATTTTAGCTTTAAGCATCTAAATTTTATCAATGAACTAAAATAGGTGTATTTTTTATGATTTATTTAAGAGAGTGGGTTTGTTTGAGTGTGCTTCCGGTAGAAACGAAGCTTTTTTTCGATCCTGTGCAATTCAAGTTATGTCACGTTACATATAAGGAAAGACGTGTTGGAAAGAAAACAAACAAAAATAGATTCTCTTATTTAATCGACAGAAATTGAAGCCAAATAGTAATCTGATTTCACCACCTCCTGAATTTTTTTGGTTGTTGTATAAGCTTGCGCTACCCTCAGCAAAGTTGCCAAGGAACGACTGCTACTGTGCCCAGTATATGACTGAATTTCAAGTGGGTTCAAGAAAGAAGCAACTGTTTTATAGGCAATGAATCCTATTTTTATTTGTGAATTTGGCACTATTCAAACATGTCAAAAATGGCTGTAGATAATTTAATGTTGTGCGTCCAGTATGAGCTGTAGCTCCATCTTGTTGCAAGTCGCCACCACTGGACCTATTTTCTGTCATATCTTGCTATTTCAGCCTCCAGTGGCATATGTTGGAGTCTATCCGTTTTTCTAGTTTGAACTTCGAAATTTCTTCCTATGCATTTTTATTTATTATTGTATAATCTATTATCGATTGCCCTTTCGGTTCAATGTAAGTTCGTTTGTCGTCATCGTCACCAGTAGCGTTTCTCCTTAGTTTCACTTTTGTCTTTGGATCTTCTCTTTCCATCATCTTCTTATTTCTCCTTTTTCTTCCATTCTTGCATTGAAATCTCCTCCTACAATTACATAGTCATCATCTATGATTATTCCCCCTATAGCTCTTCTTTTCTTCATTTCTCTTTTTGCTCCCTGACTATCCAATTAAATTCTCTTGGCATTTTCTCTTTTACTCTTACTATCCATGTTTCTACTAAACACTTACGATACCAAAATTCGTTATATACTCCCAAGTCATCTTTATTCTTCAGTCCGGCAATATCCCAAAAAAGGAATTCTCTTTCTTGTTACCACAGCTTTGCCCATGATTTGCAATTATTTTAATATTTTCATTGTTTTCTTCTTGTTTCCCTTGTTCTTATTTCTCTTATTTTGCGTGCTCATCTTTTTTATTTCTTTAAAAATGAAACACCAGGGGTTCCCAAGATTCTATAAATCTTTTAAAAACAAGACACTAGAGACTCCCGTCAATCTTTCGTTAAATTCTCAACAAACAAAACACTTGGAGCCCCTGACTTTTTACAAATTTCTTCAAAAAAAAAAAAGAAAAACACCAGGAGTTCCTGAAATACTTCTTAATTTATACAAAAACAAGACACCAGAGGGCCTTGAGGTACTTTTCGAGAATCTTTTTTCAAATTCTTTCAAAAATAAGTTACCCCCGAGATTCTTTCAAAATCTTCCTTAAAAATTTTTCAAAAACAACAACACCAGAGGGCGCCAAGATTCTTTCAAATTCTTAAAAGAAAACACCGGAACACTAGATCCTTTCATAAATTCTTTCAAAAATAACAACACAAGGGGGGGCAAGATTCTTTCAGATTCCAAAAACAAGATAGCAGTGGCTTCCGAGATTCTTTCAAATTAAAAAATAAAAACCCCAGGAATTTCCAGAATATATTTTCAAATTCTTTCAAAATAAAGTGGTCCCATAGATTCTTTCAAAATGTCCCATAAAAAAACACAGGAACCCCTGATTCCTTTTATAAATTCTTTCAAAAACGAAATTACCATGATTTTTTCAAATTCTTCCAGATTCTTCAAAAATAATCACCAGAGGCTCTCGAGATTCTCTCAAATTAAAAAACAAAAGCCCCAGGGATTTCCAGAATATTTGTTAGAATTCTTTTAAAATCAAGTGGCCCCTGAGATTCTTACAAAATCTTCCATAAAGAAAAAACCGGAACCCCTGATTCTTTTATAAATTCTTTTAAAAACAAATTACCGTTATTCTATCAAATTTTTCAAAGAACGGCTTCTAGAGATTCCTTTAAATGCTTTCAAAATAAACTACGGAGGGAACAAGATTCTTTCAACTTCTTCTTCTTCAAAAAAAAATTGGTCTAAAGAGTTTAGACAGTACTTCCCTCGCTGTCGGAAACTTGACGACTGCATGGCTATTGTGTTTTTTTCTCATTACATTTTTGTAGTGGGAATTTAAAAAAAATTGCGATGACGTCATCAACATTTTTGCAAGGACACGTATATCAGTTGGGATAGATGTAGTGTAATACTAAGAATAAAATTATTGTATTCCCAAATTTTCGGGAAAATGAATTGGGTCGTTTTGAATATTGATTTTTTATAATCAATAAAATAACGAAACAATTTACTCACGTATACGGCAACTGAAAATCGTTTATGTATAAACATTCTTAATTTAAGATGACAAGCGTAACAGCATACGTGAGAGTCAAACAGAGAAACTGTAAACAAAACGACTATCGGTTTTATTGCTTCGACTTCCGCTTATTATATAAAGCATTGGGTTTTATTTTTATTTTTGACGGTGAAATTCACAATTGGTTGATTATAAACATGTCTATTCCACATTCGCGGAACCTATAGTCAGCGCATAAAACAAATGCACGTCTGTAATGTTAAAGTCGATGTAAATAAGCGTGCTACCCTTATGTTTCAACCGAGTTTCTACTTTAAAAAATTTTGTGTCTACCAAATTGGGTTGGTCCAATGTAATACTAATAATAAGTGTTGCCTTTAATATAATCAATAAAATAAATTGACTTCATTAATTTTTTTGAGCCACCTCTTAAGAAAATCTAAAAAATATGAGTGGAATGATAAATCACAAGTACAAACTCATCATATTTTTTGCATTTTAGATAGGATTTATTCAGCAAAATTTAAGGGTGACGTCACCAATTTTTTTAGGAGGGATGAACAAATACATTTTGAACAAAAGTTTACCATGCTTATAATAACTTTAAAATATCTCCAAGATTTCAAAGCATTCGGTTTTGTAATTCCTGATTGAATCGATAAAATAAATTCACGCATTCATTATTTTTTTTGAGTCACCCTGTATATGCAAATCCAAAAATATGAATGGAATGATAAATCACAAGTACAGACTCATCATATTTTGTACATTTTAGATAGGATTTATTCAGCAAAATTTTGGGGTGTCGTCATCAATTTTTTAGGGAGGATGAGCAAATACATTTTGATAAAAAATTTACCATGCTTATAATAACTTTAAAACATCTCCAAGATTTCAAAGCATTCGGTTCTGTAAATCCTGATTAAACCAATAAAATAAATTCATGCATTCATTAATTTTTTTGAGACACCCTGTATATGCAAATCCAAAAAATACGATTGGAATGATAAATCACAAGTACAGACTCATCATATTTTGTACATTTTACATAGGATTTATTCAGCAAAATTTTGGAGTGACGTCATCAATTTTTTAGGGGAGAAGAGCAAATACATTTTGATAAAAAATTTACCGTGCTTATGATAATTTTAAAACATCTCCAAGATTTTAAAGCATTCGGTTCTGTAATTCCTGATTAAATCAATAAAATAAACTGACGGATTCATTAATTTTTTTCAGTCACCCTGTATATACAAATCGAAAAAATATGAATGGAATGATAAATCACAAGTACAGACTCATCATATTTTTCACATTTTAGATAGGATTTATTTACCAAATTTTAGCGTGACGTCATCAATTTTTTTAGGGGGGGGATGAGCAAATAAATTTTGATAAAAAATTTACCATGCTTATGATAACTTTAAAGTATCTCCAAGATTTCACAGCATTCGGTTCTGTAATTCCTGATTAAATCAATAAAATAAATTGACACATTCATTAATTTTTTTGAATCACCCTGTATATGCAAATCGAAAAAATTTGAATGGAATGATAAATGACAAGAAGAGACTCACCATATTTTGTACATTTTAGATAGGATTTATTCAGCAAAATTTCGTGGTGACGTCATAAATTTTTTAGGAGGGGACGACCAAATACATTTTGATCAAAAATTTACCATGCTCATGATAATTTTAAAACATCTTCAAGATTTCAAAGCATTCGGTTTTGTAGTTCCTGAGTAAATCAGTAAAATAAATTTTGCGCATTCATTAATTTTTTTGAGTCACCCTGTATATGCAAATCCAAAAATATGAATGGAGTGATATATCACAAGTACAGACGCATCATATTTTGTTCATTTTAGATAGGATTTATTCGGCAAACTTTTGAGCTGACGTCATCAAGTTTTTGGAGGGGATAACCAAATATATTTTGACTAAAGATTTATGATGCTCTTTAGAGCCTTAAAACATCTGCAACATTTTAAAACATTCGGGTTAGCAGATTCAAAATTAAATTGCAAAATGTTGTTTTATGATTTTGATTTTTTTTCCAAAAATCTGGACGTTTCGGGTAAAAACTGAATTCGGAGTCGTAAACTACATGTGTAGGACTATGTTATTTTATACAATTTAAGACCCATTTACTATGTACAATTTTGAAGTGACGTCATCGCATTAGTGGTGGGGATGATTAGACAAATTTTGGTTAGCGTTTTACCATCTACATGATATTCCTAATATAGGTACAAAATTTCACAACAATCGGTCCAGTACTTTCGGAGATTATCTGTC